ATTCATCTCCAATGCTACCACCTCTCCTTCGCCCCGGATTTCTACACTTATGTGAGATACACACTTTCTCAGTCATTCTTGCAGCTAAAAAAGGCTTGCGACACTGTTTTGGCAAATGAGACATAAGAGGAAAGGTTTTGCTTGCTTCCTAAAAGACACAGACGCAGCTCTTAATTCTCCACTTTTCTCCTTTTCTATAGAAGGTGGATGTGATGCCAGGAGCTGGGGAAGCCACTTTGTAACCATGAAGGAAGAGACCCTCCAGCCCTGACATTAGTGAGCTCTTGAAACAACACCAGCACCCTCTACCTCCAGATCTCTTATAGGAGAAAGATGAATTCACATTAATGTCAGTGTTCTCCAGTTTTTTCTCTTATCTGCAACTAGAAATTTTTCTAACGGCTGCGTCGTATTTCCGTTTACGCTTCCTATCTTTTGGTTTTCAATGGAATTCAAATTTGAATGATGGGGATGTGCTGGCACTTAAATCCAAGGGACCCAAACCATGCTCAGGGGCACCCAGTTTCCTATTGATTTATTTATATGATTAGGTATGCACCTATTTATTTTTATTTATTTATGTTTTTGAGGTTTGGGTGCTCTATTTTTACTATTTTTTTTTTAAGACAAAGTTTTGCTGAGTTGCCCAGCCTGCCTGCCCTTGAACGTGCGATTCTCCGGCCTCAGCCTCCCAGATAACCTTAACCTCCTGAGTGCACTAGTGAACCCCGCTGTCCCCTTTTCCATAACAGGGGTTTCTCAATGGGTCAGACATTCTCTCCTGCAAGGTACCTCGTTCTGCTGCAAGGAACCCAATTTAGATTCCTGGCCCCTGCTTCTTCCTTTCTGCCCCCAAGTTGGGACACGGCCTCGCTGTCATGTGAGGACTCAGCCTGTCCTGGTTGACTGGGTCTTCAGAATGGTGGTGGCCGAGCTCCAAGGGGGACAGCACAAGTGTAATAATGACCACAATCACTACTTACTGGGGACCGACCATATATTGGGGATTGGGCTCAGTATTGCACATGCACCATCTCACATATTTGTGTGACTTCAAAGGCAGCGTTTCTAAGTCGCATCCACCAGGGCCCATGATCTGTTTCTGCCCTCTCCTCCCTCCCTGAGCAGCTGCCTGTTTGCAGAAGGGCCTGGGCCAGCACACAGAGTGTCTGTCGCTCTTCCTGTGCTGGGAGGTGATGAACGGCTTCTTGCCTGCACCCTGATTTATCACAGACGGAAGCCGCCTGTCACATGGGCCTGCAATTAGACACAGCAAGATTCGCTAAGGCAAGCGTTAGGCCACAGAGGGAAAGGAAATAAATAGACCTTTGAGTTCTGCCGCTGGCAAAACAATACAGCCAGAGGAGCCTCTGGAGAAAGAAAAGGAGCCACTGCTATTGTTCCGGTGTAAGGTGCGTCCTCAGAACAGGTCCAGCCAGTTTGGGAGTCTTCAGAATTCAATCTCAAGTGGCTGTTGGAGGTTTTATTTTCTCAGGGTAATCAGTGAGTGATTCAGTGCAGGGCAGGGGGTGGTCTCCATGGTTAGAGTGCAAAGAGGTCAAAGCTCAGCTCGGGGCTCACTTCTGACAAAGACCCCATGGCTCACTCCCCAGGGACCAGCCTTCGTCTCTTTAGGCTGCAATTCCTTCCACCTGGACAGGGAAGAAAATCATTGCACGTTTTCGGTGGACGCATGTGGTTGCGCTGGGCGTCCAGGTGTTCCTTGCTGGGGAAAGTCTTTCTAAAAGGTGTTGATTTTCCTTTTGGGGTTCGGGTTGGCTCAGCTGGGTGCAGAGCAAGATTCTCCTGGCGCAGACGCTCCCTCGTCACTTGGGGGGAGCGGAGAAAAGACAGGTCTGTGTCTTCTGCATACCTGGGGGTCTGTCTGCTTTGTCCCCTGCTCCCCAGCCCTGCCCACTCACTTCTCAGCAGAAAACTAGACCCTGGTGCCCTGCAAGCATCTGTCTCCCCAGGTGCAAGACCACACCAGCTTCATCATGGAGCTTGTTAACAGGATGAAAGGACCGACCGTGTCATGGTGGCTAAGCTATAATTCACCCCTTCTAACATGCACATCCCTCCCCACCCATGTTTTAATGTCTCTGAAACCAGGACACATCTTATCCTCTCACTAAAACCTAACCAAGATGCATCTTAAAATGGCACACCGGCCCCGCAGAGGAGGAAATCCAGGCTGACCGCAAGAGGTCATGCAACCCAGTAAGCGGCAGAGTTGGGGTTCAGATCCACATGGTTTGCTGAAGAATCCCTACTTTGAGTTACCCAGCTAGAATATGAGCAGAACCCCCCGAACCGGGAAGTCTTAGGATCTGCCCAAATTAGGGGGTGCTTCCTTCTCTCTGGATTTTTAATGACACGGTTTCCCAGAGACCGAGCCTGCCTCAGGGATCCCACGCCTTTTTAGATTTTGGCCAATAGCTTCCCATTCTAGAACGTGGGAGAGGTGTTCTTCATTCCCCCACCCCCTTCCTAACTTTATCCAAGATGAAAATTGTGGGTTCACAGTCATCCCCCCCACACACACACACACAGCAGCCTGCTCCTCCCTCCACCCGGTCTGTGGCTAATCCCATTAGACTTCTCTTTTGCTTCTGTGGGAAACAAAGCCCAAAGGGATTCCTTAAACAGATTAGGGAGCACAACACGGGGGCAGGCTGGAAGGTTTCTTCCACAGAAGACCTTCAAGTGGGGGATTTGCATATTTATGTGTCTTCTGCCTGGGAGGAGAAAACCCAACAGCACAAACACAGGACCACAAGAAGACCTCCAAGGGCTGCCCCCCATTAGTTAGGATCTGCAAAGCTCGTCCCTGGGAGGAGGAGAAAGGTCTAGACTCAGAGGGCTTCAGGGTTACCCCAAGACTTGCCCCCCCCATAGGAGCTAATGCCCTGGACCCTAGGGCCACGCAGCGGGGGTGGGGGGCAGCCACACCTTCCTCCTCTGCGATGCGATGACAGATCTCTCCTAGAGTGCTCCCCTCGGACACCTACCTGGCTGCCTGGCATTTTTTTTTTTTTACTCTTTAGGTACTTTTCCTCTGCTCCAAACAAACCTGGAAACTCCTGGATCACACCCTGCAGCTTCTCCCAGTATCCCCTGTGGTGCCCAATGGATGGTGAAATAGAGAGGGGGCAGAACTCTGGAGCAAGAAAGATCTGCTCCTGGAAGCCTTCGAGAATGTACCTCATGCACCTAAGCCAAGGTCAGCCACAGCAGCTCCCGACCAAACATCATCCTCTGGGGCACAACTGTCATTATCATTGGCTTTACTTGCCCCAGATGACCAACCCACCCGCTGTCTACAGGGTTTCTTGTGATTTGTCCCTTTCTAGTTAACCCATCTTAGGTTAATCAGTGCCTTCTGATCTAAGACAGAGGGTCTGTGTGCCATTCTGACCTCAGTATCTTGCCTAGGCACCTGTCTTCTCTCCTCCCCAAATAGCACGCACGCAGGCACAAGCGCACACACGAGTCTTGAGCTAGCTATTCTTTTCTTTGCTCCCATGAGACCCTAGGCTATTTCCCTACCTCTTCACTATTCACCTTGCATTATAATCGCCTGCCTCTTCCCTCCTCCACTCCCCACCCAAACATATGCCCTCTCAGCAGTGAGATTCTTGGAAGAGAGTTTGTAGCACATAACAGGGGTTCAATGCATCTTTGCTGAATGAACCGGGTATCCATACAATTAAAATCTTAGCAGCATTTATTGGGTCAGGAATTGTCCTAAGGGCTGGTGGCCTACATTGAGTCACTGGATGCTTACAGCAATCTCATGCAGAGGGACTGCAATATCCCCATTTTGCAGAGAAGTTCTGTCACTTGTCCAAGGCCATGGGGATGCTAAGTTGCAGATCCAGGGCAAACCCAGCCTGTTCCTGTCAGCTGTCCCTGCTCCGATCTCCCGGCTGCTACTGAAACCCCCAACTGGCTCTTCACTCTCTTGCCCTGATGGCTGTCCTGGGAAGTTCAGTCCCCAAGGGGGCCATTTTGGATCAAACACACCTCTGTGCAGCATTTAGAGATGAAAGGAGATTCGCAAAGCTGCCTCCTGAAGCCGGATCTCACCAAGACGGCTGAGCAAGAGGAGTGCACAATGGTGTGTCCATCTTCCAAGAAGAACAGCTAGAGGACACTTGGGGCCACGTGCAAAGCACTGGTGAGCTCCCCTGTGTGACTCCCTGCAGGCCGACCTTCCTGGGCCACGATTCTGAGCCACAGTGTGCATGCCCCTGTGGATAGACCAGAGTGGACCAGCATCGCTCCTCTACCCAATGTGGCTGATTCATGACTACGTAGGGGCTTGAGGGTTCCAACCCAAGGCACACTTATAAATTTGGCCTACCCAGTTACGATCACTTCAAAACAGAAACCCTTGCCAAATTTTCTTTATCACTCAAATCGACAACCCCATGTACACAGGAGCAAGCATAAGCATCACGCTAGTCAATTTCCATATCTGATTGTGTTCAGTTCTTCAGCTATTTCTGCCTCGTCCCTGTTCTCCTTTTGTAGACAGGAGCAAAGAAAGGCTAAGGGACATTCAGCAACTTGTCCAATGTCACCCAGAGAACGAGTAGTAAGCCCAGCCTCCAAACCCCCAAGTTTGACACCCTGCAGCCTCAACCCTGAGAGAGGATGAGCACATCTCCCGAGCCCAGCGGATCTCTGGGAATCAGTTCTGCGACGGCAAACCTACCATTCATCTTAATTTTTTTCTGATGTTCTACGGTGTCACTGCCAATTTACTCCATCATTTTGGAATTACTGGCTAATAGGATGTCCCAGGGAACTGTTCTGACTCGTGTTTTCATTGTCTGGGAGAAACCAACCATTGAATGGCGACAGGGATGTGTCTGGACAATTGAATCCCACCAAGACTCTTCTCCCTTCTCCCCTCCCTCCTGGGTCTGTGGCGAACACCTACTTCTCTTTGTTTTAAAAGACACGTTTGGTTTGGACAGAACGGGGAGACCTACCTGGGTCAGAGGGTCTGAGTCATAACAGGTCCACACGGCCCCCGAGCTGGGGGAACTCTGAATCTTTTTGGTGGCTGGCACCTTGGTCATCTTGGAAATCTCTCAGGCTTTTCCAGAATCTTCTACTTTTCCAGGAGTTCCAGAAATTCCTCCCTGACTCCCAAGTTCCAGCTACACAGAACCTCCCCAGAAGGGTTTCTGTGCGAGGAGGAATGGGAAAACAAGTCACCCGAGTGTCCCACAAACAGGATAAGGAAGTCCCGAGGCGACGAAATCAGGCTAAGGTGGAATTCTTTACTTTTCAGAAAGTTACAAACTTTTATAAACTTCCCCCCATCTTCAGAAGCGTATCTCTTTCCCTCCGATAAGCAAAATAGAATATAAAGTGAAGAAAATAAAACTCCATCAACAAAATCCCCATCCTGCAGCCACAGTCCAAGAACCCAGGTGGCCCCAGCGCGGGGCTCAGCCCAGCCGTGGTCAGGCAGGGTAAGAGGCGCAGCCGCCAACAGTCAGGTGCGGCCCCTCGGTTGCCGGGCAACGGGACGCCAGGCGGGGCCGCCTCATTGGCTGGGGCTGGAGGGGGCGGGGTCGCCGACTCCTGGCAGCTGCACACTGGCTCTGAGCAGGTAGCTGGCTGGCTGGAGAGCCACGTTCTCTAAGGTCTACGTTTCCCCTCTTAGATCTAAGTATCCTGATTCTTTTCCTCCACCATACTACACGTCTCCTCCCTTTGACCTTTGCTTCATCCTGCTACTTACCCCAGAGTGGTTCCTTGTGCCTTGATGGTGTGTGTGTGTGTGTGTGTGTGTGTGTGTGTGTGTGTGTGTGTCAACGTGTGCCTTAGGCAATTCTTAACCCAGAATGCCTAATTCTCCCCTTTTTCCTGCCTGAGAAACTTCTGCTCATCCTTCAAAGCCCTTATACAGGTATACATTCACGCACACACACGTACATATAAACACACGTGTGTATTATGAAATAATTGTCTCTGAACGTGCTAGACCCTGTTCTAAGTGTTTTATGTTGCAATGGCAACAGAATTCTCACAGCATTCCACCTAGGAAGCTGTTATATTACCCTGTTTTACAGACTAAGCAACTGAGGCACAGAGACATTAAGTGACACGCTGAAGGTCACACAGCATGGATCCGAGCTGGGATTCAAGATCAAAACTGTTTGATTCTAAAACCCCAATTCTTAACAACTTATCTGCATGACCTGGGGCAAGGTCCCTATATATAGAGAGAGCTTGGCTTCCATATCTTTGAAATAGAGATAACAGATTTACTATAGGTTGTTAAGGATTAAAGTAGATAATATATATATATATAAAAGCTGAGCATATGAGAAGTCTTGGTTGAGAGTACTGCTATTATTTCCTGACATCCTTCCTCTAGGAAGAATTAGGCATTCTGACTGTGCTGGGCTCATTTCATAGCAGATATTAATACTAACAATATTTATGGATTGCTTACTCTGTGCTAGGTACTGGACTAAGCACTTTACATACATTAATTCAATTAATCCCCCAATAACCCTGTGAGGTAGGTTCTCAGGCTGTAAAAAAAAAAAAATTATTGCACATTTGTTATTTGCATGCCTTATCCTTGGCATTACTTTACCCTGAATCAGTCGAGTTCCTGGTTTCTGCCTAAACCTTGAGCTGCTGAGGATTATGATATCATCATGGGCTTATCTTCCCCAAAAGATGACACTCCACACGGAATGCAAAATGCCCGACTATGCGGCTCCGGGTGTGGATGGCTGGAAGTCATTATTTCCTCCCCGTTGTCGGCAGACTGCATCTGACCTCCTCTTTCATGGGAAGTTCGGGTTCTGTTTCCTCTATGGGAACAGCATTAAGCAACCAGCAAGCGCTTTCAGAACAATGCAGATAAACAGAACTGTGTTTAGAGGATGGGGCTGAGGGCGAGAAAACAGAGTGGGAAATGTTCAGCTCTGAGCCCAGGCTGCCTTGGCAAAGAGGGACTCAACGAGTTCCATCTGAGCCCAAGGTGTGGGAAGAGGGCTTTGGCTCTATACAGCAGAGCATCATTTTAAAAGTCGTGAGCTCTGGAGTCAGCCTGACTTAGCCACCGAGCAGCCTCCATGGTCACTAGCCTCAAAGGACTAGGCTGAAATCTAGATGGGACCTTCTGTGCAAAGTACCGTGGCTGGCACAGAGGAGGCGCTCAGGGAACGTCAGCTCCTATGTCCTTTGTTATTACTCACCTGCCAAAGCCAGGTGAGAACTGGAAGAAGGAAGGCTTCTCAAATTCTGACCTGTCATTTAATGGTTAGAAGAACTGGGTCAAGTCACTTCTCCAAGCCTCCATTTTATTATGGATAGGAAGTCCATGTGCAGGGATGGTCAGGCCCGTCCATCTTATGCCTACCCCTGGGAGTAACAAGTAGAATGACAAGTGTACAGAGCTTGTTTGGCAGAAAGGGCTCAGTGGGTGCTATTTCCTTCTTCTGTCTACAAAGGGGTGTGTTCCCTCGGGAGGGAATGAGCTCCCCAGCACCGGTGGCATTCAACTAAGGACTCTCTGGTTTCTCGATGGGTGGAAGAGGCCCCAGTGATCACTTGGTGGTGACTATATGACATTTAAGGTCCTTTCCAAACAGAACTTGGGAGACAATATAGAGTCCTAGTTCAGCTGGCGATTAAATCTCAACGTGGCCCATGACCAGCTGCGTGACTTTGCCCAAATGATGTCTCCTCGCAAAGCTTGTGTTTTCTCATTACAGAAAGGAGATTAAAAAAATAGGACATATGTAAAAATGGTGTGACATACATACAACATTTCGAACAGTACCTGACACATCATAAAAGACGTGGTAAATGATAGCTCTTGCTAGGCTATGATCATAAGAACTAAATATTTTCTAGATCAGTTTAGTACTTTGGGGGAAAAACTGGTTAATGAGGAATAGCCCCCCAACCCTGGGGACTCATGGCACCTCCCAGTCTAGTTACTGGATGAACACACACACACACACACACACACCTTAACAGGGACATTTTGATTGATTGAGCTCCTTCAGTAGAAGACCCCAGATGTGCGCTATCATTTGGATATGATTTGAGTGCGTCCCCAGAGTCACATGTGTTGGGAGTTTGATCCTCAGTGTGGCAATGTAAAGGGGTGGCTGTCCCTTTAAGAGGCAGGGCCTAGTGGAAGGTCATTAGGTCACTGAGGTGCTGCCCTCAGAAGGATTTAATGTGGTTCTTGTGGGTTGTTGGTTGGTTCTTGTGAGAGATCTCACATCCGATTTCTCCCTCACCCATGCTCTCCTGCATGATGCCTTCGCCATAATGTGATGCAGCCAGGGGGTTCCCTCAGCAGAACCCACGCCATGCTGTTTGGACGTCCAGATTCTGAGTCTGTGAGCCCAGTAAACTTCATTTCTTTCTAAGTCCCTCAGCCTCAGGTATTCTGTTATAGCAATGGAAATGGGCTAATACAATGGGCAAGAGACTTATTAGGGGGCATAATACAAAGAGGAGGCTCAGGGATAGACGTGGAGAGTCGGGTGATGGGAGGACGGAAGGGGGGATTGGAAGAGAGGAGTCACACATGATGATCCAGCTCTGAGAAAGTCTCAGCCAGGCTGATGGGGAGGCCCTGATTCAAAGTCGGCCTCTAGACGAATCTCTCCTGGCTCTAGGCCCCCACGGTGCCCACTTCGTTGGCTGGGAGCGTCTGGGTGTGGGATGCATGACCCATGGAATCTAAGCCTGGAGTATGGATTCAAAGACACAGCACCTGTCCATCAGCCGTGCTCCCTGCAGACCCTCCTGGAGGGACGTCGAAGCCTCCGCAGGCCCTGGAGGCTTGGCGAGTGGTGTGATCCAGTCTTCAATCCCGAGGATTCTGAGCCCTTCCGTTAATAAGCTCTCCTTTTGGTCTCAGGTTGCCACATGCGTCATTCTCTGCTTAACGTTGCTGGGGAGAGTTCTGGGGACACAGCTAGATCACACACGTTCATTATGGATTCCTTCCTGTCCACCCTCCCACCAACTGCATAACTGTCAATCAGGGTCAAATCTTCCTGACAAAGTGGTCACTCCTTTTCTCTCCTGCTAGTCCCCAGACACACAGCATCCAGGTGCCCTGTAGCAACGATAGCTGTAGTCAGAAAGAGCCATGCTTTGTCCCCTGGCAAAAATGAGACCATTTGGGGGAACTGGACTCTCACCTCGCAGAGCTCAGAGGTGCAGAAATTGGAAGTCCCTCAGGGGGTTATTGGATGTGAAGGGTGGAGAGACCTCTCTGTTTCTCTGCCTTGGCTTCTGTGTGGGGGGGATGCAATGCCACTGAGGGTTCTCAAACTTTGGAATCAAGTTTTTGGGGTTCATAGCAATTGCAAAGCATCCTTGCTGGGGTTCCACTATGCATTCGATGGACTGGTCCAGAATCTATGGCACCAGCTGCCTTTGGGTGCTGGGGTCTGTGTGATGACTGGATCCCATGCCAACGTGAAGTAGGTCCTATAGCTGAGTTTCCGTGGGCATTGACAACATAACGGTAGCAAGTGGGGGTGGGACCGGGTCCCTTCCCCCTCAACACTCAGTTCCCAAGAAGCACTTTTTGCTACCATTTTGCCTGAAATCTCCCACTGGCTGCAGCAGATGTTCCTAAACTTTCTTAGCTCATGGTGCCTTTTGCTTCTCAATAAACTTTTAATGGCATCTCTAAGCCAAAGGAAATATCTTGAGAAGCCCACTTATTCAGTAGTTTGGCCCATGCAACTGAGTACGTATTTAGATCTTAAAGATGTCGTCGCCATTTGATAAAATACAACACGTTCCTGGAAAGAAAACAGTATTTGCATTTGATTCTTAAATAGCCACAGTTGCTTTCCAACTGGACGGGTGTTCCTGGTGGGCACTGCACAACTTCTCAAACTTTGGAATCAAGTTTTTGGACACTGTCACCTTCACTCTCGATGGCACATTGACTTTAAATTTTTTTTTAACTTTGTTTATTTTGATGCAGTGCTGAGGACTGAACCTGTGCCTCACACGTGCTAGGCAAGTACTCTGTCACAGAGCCCCAGCCCAGCACATTGGCTTTTGCACAATTGTCACTTTTGTCACAGTAACACCCCCAAATTCAGCTTTATAATGATAGAATATTATGGAAGGAATTTTATGTCACCTGCTGCTGAAATTGAGTGTATTAGTCAGGGAGGACAATCCTGCAAACTACCAGAGACCAAGCAGCTTAAATAACAGAGATGTAATTTCTCATCATTTGGGGACTAGAAGTCTGAGATCAAGGCACTCCCCGGCCTTGGTTTGTCCTGAGGTGTCTCTCTTTAAGTTGCAGATGGCCACCTTCTCCCTGTGTCCTCTCGAGGTTTACCCTCTGTGTGTTTTTGTTCAAGTTTCTTAAAAAGACACCAGTCATAGAGATTAGGGTCCACCTTGGTGACCTTGTTTTAACTTAATCACCTCCATAAAGACCCCAGATTCAAGTAGGGTCACCTTCTGAGGTAGAAGGGGGTTAAGACTTCAAGATACGAATTGGAGGGTAG